TATAACAAATAAATGTAAAAATTATATCGTTGGATAGAGTTTAACTGTCTGATCGCAACGGTGCAAACGGAATTCAATTCGGAGAAAGTTGGACCAAAAAGTCTACCCGACTGGGACCAAAATTAGTCCCAATCAGGGACGGCGCCTCCTACTCCACTCAGCCGATCAAAGATACGTTCCTAAGCAAATCCTACGCTGCATTGTTTGGTTTCTTCCTCCATTCCTTTCCTATATAAGACCACCTTCACTCCCTCAATTCTCCATCATTTCTCACAATTCTCATATCAATTTTGTTGCTGGGAGTGAGGTGAACGTAGTGGTGCTATCATATCGGTGAAAGGTCGCCGGAGCTAGCCACAAACCTCGCCGGAAGTTTCACCAGAAAATCGTCAAAACCTTCATTTAGCTTTGAGGTAAGCCCGTTGATATATCTAATGACTAGAATGTTCATATAGGTCGTTTCTACGTTTATAAATAGTCGTTTGGTTGAGTTTTGTGTTTGACATGTTCAAAGAACTAAGAATCAAAAACCTTGAATTTGATGTTAAAATATGTTTTAATGATTCTAAAATGATATATGAACCTGGGAAAACCTTTCTATATAATTTAATTGAAGTTTGGTGATTAAAAATGATAATACTCGAAACTGACCAGAGAAAGAAGTGATGAACAGTAGCCGAAAATCGATTATTTACTTCTTAAGAATCGATTAGAGTTATGTCCTGACGAGGATGTTTGAAGTCAGTATATAATCGATTATTTAAAATATAAAAATTGATTTAAAAAGTATTAATCGATTATTTCGAAACTAAAAATCGATTTTTAGCAATTAATTGATTATTTAAATTATAAAAATCGATTTTTAACAATTAATTGATTATTTAAATTATAAAAATCGATTTTTAGCAATTAATTGATTATTTAAATTATAAAAATCGATTTTTAACAATTAATTGATTATTTAAATTATAAAAATCGATTTTTAGCAATTAATTGATTATTTAAATAATAAAAATCGATTTTTAGCAATTAATGGATTAATTAAAATATAAAAATCGATTTTTAGCATTTAATTGATTATTTAAAATATAAAACTCAATTTTCCTCAAGTCTAGATCCTGTTCTGAAAATATTCTGAAAATATATGCTCTAAAATCCACCAATTGATTATGATCATTGGAAAAATGATTTACCATAATTACAATGATGTTTTTAACAAATAAAAAATGTTATGTGATGCATGACGGTAAGTTAGGGTGTTAACACCCGAAGTTAGGCCGCTAATTGTTATTAAATATTATGTTGATTGATGATTATGGTAATGATTATTGATTGATGATTAAATCTTGATAATGTTAGAATAATAGACCAACGCTAGAGGGGGGGGGGTGAATAGCGTTTGATCAAAAATCGCAGGAATAAAAGATGAATAAACGAGAAGTAAAGAGAGGAGTAAAAGGCACACCGATTTTACCCTGGTTCACCACAACTTGTGGCTAATCCAGCCTCCCGAGAGACTCTCTCGAGCTACACTACTATCTCGTTAAGCTTAACGGTGCTTAACAAACCCGTACAACTTGAGAATTCGAGTCACACGAACCTCAACGAACCTTCGAAGGAAACAACCCTTCCTTCGAACAGCAAGAGAAACACTTTCTCTTGTCAAGTGTCTAAGAACACTAGAAACACTCAAGAACAATACTCTATTTTAGAGTGGATAATGAGTAAACTAAGAACGCTCAAGAACACAACACAAGCTTCACAAAAATGGCTCTCAAAAGCTATGAAAAATTGAAGAATAATTTGCAATGAAAGAGTAGGAGTTGTGAAGTAAAGTAATGTGTAACACAGACCCAAAACACCCCATTTTATAGTGGAAAAATAGGCTCCAACGGACCAACACATTTAAGGGGTGATTGGCACAATTTGTGGGATTTGATTAAAATTGGATCTGCTGAAATTCACCTAGACAGCGCTGTCCTATGCTGGACATCGCTGTTCTAGGCTTGATTTTAAAAATTGGGAAGCAACGGTCATGCCAACAGCGATGTCCAA